GGTCACAGGGCAGGGGTTGGGGTGTCACCCCGGCCCTGGGGTCAGAGCTCACAGGCCACTTCTCCCACGGCCCCAACTTGGGGGTGGGGGGTCAGGGGTCAGCACCGCCCCCCCCATATCTCTGGGGCAGAGGTCAGGGGTCACCCCCCCATTACCCCCCACTACACGACCCCGTTACCACTGACATTAGAGGTCAGGGGTCACCAGCGCCCTCCCCCATGGGCTGCAGCCAGGGGTCACCAACGGCCGCCCTCCGCGGGGTCAGGGGTCACCAACGGCCGCCCTCCCCGGGGTCAGGGGTCACCACCGGCCGCCCTCCGCGGGGTCAGGGGTCACCACCGGCCGCCCTCCGCGGGTGCGCGGTGCCGCGGGCCCTACCTGGCGCCGCGCGCGTCGGGCGCGACGGGGCTGAACACGAGCTGGAGGCGCTGCAGCTGCCGCACGTGGCGCCCCACGCCGTTGTGCAGCACGGCGCCCAGGAAGCGGCTCGCGCTGCCGCGGCCCGTCATGGCGGCGCGCCGCTGCCCCGGCCCCTTCCTGCGGCGGCCGGAAGTGACGCGCGGCCCGCGCGCGGCAATGGCGGCGGCCGCGGAGCCGCACGTGGGGGGGAGCGGCGGGAGCCGGCGGCGCGGGGCCCTCCGGGGTCCCTCGGGGTGCACCGGGCTCCTCTGAGGTGCCCTGGGGTCCCTCGGGGTCCCTGGCGGTGCCTAGGGGTGCCTGGGGGGTCCCTGGGGGCCGCTCGGGGCGCGGGGCGGGTGCGCGCGATGCGGTGGTAGCGCCGTTTCGCGGCGTCCCGCGGCGTTCCGCGGCGTTGCGCGCCGTTTCGCGGCGTTTCGCGCCATCCCGCGGCGTCCCGCTCCGTTTTGCGCCGTCCCGCGCCGTTTCGCGCCGTTTCGCGGCGTCCCGCGCCGTTTCGCGCCGTTTCGCGGCATCCCGCACCGTTTCGCGCCGTCCCGCGCCGTCCCGCACGGCGGGGATGGCGCTGCGGCCGTGTCACGGCGCGGCGCGGCTGTGGCCGGCGCTGCGGGGCGCCGCGCTGCGGGCCCGCGGGCCGCGCCGCCACAAGCAGGACGCGCTGCCGCGCCGYGGGCCGCCCGCGCCCGCCCTCAGCCTGGCCGAGATGCGCCGCTACCTGCGCGCCCACGACATCCCCTTCCAGGAGGGCTACAGCTGCCTGCGCGCGCCCAGCCCCTTCGCGGGCGAGCGCGGCCCCGCCGCCGGCGCACGCAGCCTCTTCATCGACAAGACCACGGGCAGCTTCCTGTGCACGGCCACGCTGGCCGAGGGCTCCTGGCAGGACCTGCAGGCACACGTGGAGCTGCGGCAGCCGGGGCCGCCCGCCGACGCGGAGGAGCTGGAGCGGGACGCGGAGCGCGAGGCGGAGCGGGACGCGGAGGACGCGCGCCGCATCTGGGAGCGGGCGCAGCCGCTGGGCGAGCTGCTGGACGAGGAGGAGACGCGTGAGGCCAAGGCCGCCTTCGGCATGTCGGCGCTGGCGGCCGCCTCGCTGCAGCGCTTCGGCGTGCGCTACCTGCGCGCCGCCAAGTGCCTCGTGTTCCCGTGGCTGAGCCCGCGCGACGGCTCCGTGCGCGGCGTGAAGCTCGTGGGGCCGCCGCCGCGCCGCGGCGAGGCCGGCGCCGCGCTCCCCGCGGAGCAGACGGTGCCGCGCGGCGCCGCCTACCGCAACCTCTTCGGGCTGCCGCTGGTGGGGCGGCGCGACACCGAGCTGGTGCTCACGGGCCGCGAGCTGGACGCCGTGGCGCTGCAGCAGGCCACGGGCGTGCCGTGCGTGGCGCTGCCGCGCGGGCCGCACAGCCTGCCGCCGCCGCTGCTGCCCTACCTGGAGCAGTTCCGCCGCATCACGCTGTGGCTCGGCGACGACCTGCGCGCCTGGGAGGCYGCCAAGCTCTTCGCCCGCAAGCTCAACGCGAAGCGCTGCGCGCTGGTGCGGCCCGGCGAGCAGCTGCCGCGGCCGCTCGAGGCGCTCGCCATGGGGCTCGACCTGCGGCGCGTGCTGCGCGGCGCCCTGCCCGCCGCGCACAAGTCCATCGTCTCCTTCCGCCAGCTGCGCGAGGAGGTGTTCGGAGAGCTCGCCAACGCCGAGCAGGTGGCGGGCGTCAAGTGGGCGCGCTTCCCCGAGCTCAACAAGCTGCTCAAGGGGCACCGGCGCGGCGAGCTCACCATCTTCACAGGTGAGGGGGCTGCCCCACGGCTGCGCTGCCTTCATGGAATCACACAATGCCCAAGGTTGGAAGGGACCTCAGGGGCCATCTAGTCCAACCCCCTGCTCACGCAGGGTCACCCAGAGCACGGGGCACAGGGCTGCGTCCAAGCGGGTTTGAAGATCTCCAAAGGAGACTCCACAGCCTCCCTGGGCAGCCTATTCCAGGGCTCTGGCACCCTCACTGTCAAGAAGTGTTTCCTTAAGTTCCTGTGGAACTTCTGGTGCCTCAGCTTGTGGCCGCTCCCTCTAGTCCTGTCACTGGTCAGCACTGCAAGGAGGTCGGCCGGCTCCTCCTCGCTGCCTCCCCGAGGTGTTTATACACCCGTCACCTCCCTGCGTGCCACACGTGGCAGCTCCCATGGGCAGGAGGCTCCGTACGAGCTCCRTACGAGCCCATTATGGGCAGTCTGGGCAGGGATGGTGCGAGTGCCATGGGGGACTCTAATGCCCCCYGATTCATCCCGGGGGCTCAGATCATCCCCCTGACCGCCTCCCGCGTTTCTCCATGTGTTTCGCGGCAGGCCCCACGGGCAGCGGGAAGACGACGTTCATCAGCGAGTACGCGCTGGACCTGTGCATGCAGGGCGTGTGCACGCTGTGGGGCAGCTTCGAGATCAGCAACGTGCGCCTGGCCAAGGTGATGCTGACGCAGTTCGCGGCGCAGCGCCTCGAGGAGCAGCTCGAGCAGTACGACGAGTGGGCCGACCGCTTCGAGGACCTGCCGCTCTTCTTCATGACCTTCCACGGGCAGCAGAACGTCAAGTAGGGCCCGCGCGTCCCCCCCAGCCCGGTGCCGCCGCGGGGTTTGCGAGCCCCACGGCGGCTCACGGCTGCCCCCCGCGCGCCAGGACGGTGCTGGACACCATGCAGCACGCCGTGTACGTGCACGACATCACGCACGTGGTCATCGACAACCTGCAGTTCATGATGGGGCACGAGCAGCTCTCGGGCGACAGGTGAGCGCGGGCGGCGCCGGCGGCGCGCGGGGCTCCCGGCGCGGCCGCCGCTCACGGGCGCGCGCGGCGCCCCGCCGGCAGGCTCGCCGCGCAGGACTGCGTCCTGGGAGCCTTCCGCAAGTTCGCCACGGACAACAACTGCCACATCACGCTGGTCATCCACCCGCGCAAGGAGGACGACGAGAAGGAGCTGCAGACGGCCTCCATCTTCGGCTCGGCCAAGGTGAGGGCGCCGGGCATCCCTCGGGAATCGGGTGGGGTGAGTTTTCCGGGTGCTCCTGCCAGCCCCTTGCTGCGCCATGGGGGTGTCCCATCTGCGGGACCCTCCCGGATCCCCTTTCCGTCCCGCAGGCCAGCCAGGAGGCGGACAACGTCCTCATCCTGCAGGATCGGAAGCTGACGACGGGGCCTGGGAAGCGGTCGCTGCAGGTATCCAAGAACCGTTTCGATGGCGACGTGGGCATCTTCCCGCTGGAGTTCAGCAAGGCCTCACTCACCTTCTCCTCTGGCAAAACCAAGGTCAAGCTGAAGAAAATGAGAGAGGAGAAGGCTCCTTTATCCAAGAAAGCTCCGCCTGGAGGCGCGGGGGCTTCCAAGAAGCCCTGAGTCCGGCCGGGCGCCTCTGGACTCTGTCGGGAGGAGCTGGGAATGGTGCTGGGCGCGGGGGCCGGGGTGCCGCAGCTCCCGTCCGGGACAGCCGGATCGCTGCTCCTTGTCCTCGCCCCTCCGGCCCGGAGCGGCCCCCAGCTCCCAAGGCGGCTTCCCRAGGAGAGGTGGGGATGGGGAATGAACAGGCTCCCAAAGCGGCCTCTTCCCTGCCCGGCACCGGAGCGGGTCCCTAACGGGCAGCCGGGATGCGGGCGGTTGTTGTGGGGYTGCGGAGACCCCGGCCTGGGCTGGGGCTCCGGGAGCGGCATTCCGGGAGCGGGATTCCGGGAGCGCTCGGCTCGCTCCTGCCCCGCATGGGCACAGCAAATGCGGGATGCGGAGGGATGCGGCGCGGGCCGAGCCCGGCAGTGCCGGAGCTGGGACGTCGCCGGAGCCAGGATGTCTCCAACAGGGGTCTGGGAGCCGTGGGGAGGGGGCGGCTGTCGCCGTGGGGCCGGGGCCGTGGGGCTGGGGGTCGAAGGCAGCAGCCGCTGCCCTGTGCCCCCCATCCTTGTGCCCCCATCCTTGAGTGTCCCGGCCCTTCCCGGGGTGTCACCAGCAGCGGGGCGCGGGGGAGCCGCCRTCCCGGCCCATTCCCACCCCGGAGCTGCTCTTCCCGCCGCTCCTCAGGGCGCTCCATGGTGCTTCCTGCAACCCGGCCCGTCCTCGCCGTGCCGGGAGCAGCCCGCRGCTCTCTTCTCCTCCAATGCCTTTTCCCCCTTTGTAGTTTTATTAAAGCAGAAACCGAGTGTCCTGCGCTTTGCCTTTGGGGACCCCGGGGCTCCCCGGCCCTCCTGCGCCGCTCCCTGCTGCTCCCTGCGTTCGCCGTGTGCCGGGATGGGGCCTCAAGGGCTGCGGAGCCC